AGCCCTATTCTGTATTTTATTTAGAGACAGGCTCTCACTGAGTTACTTAGCACCTCACTGTTGCTGAGGCTGGCTTTGAACTTTGGATCCTCCTGCCTCAGCCTCCCAGGCCACTGGGATGACAGGCATGAGCCACTGTGCCCGGCCCAAAAATCTTTAAATAAAAACATTTTCAGCTGAACAAAACCTGATATTTTAAGATCAATTTTAAGAGTTTCATGAAAGCAACTTCTAAAGGTATAGTTTACAAAGAAGGAAGCGGAGGCTGGAGGCCTGATCTGAGATGCAGGAAAGAATGGTGAACAAATAAAATGGAAAATATTCTGGTAAATTTAAACAATCATCATCTATAAAGTCATAAAAATATTCAATTTTTTGTGTGTGGTACGGAGATTGAATCCAGGGGCACTCAACCACTGAGCCACGCCCCCAGCCCTATTCTGTATTTCATTTGGCGACAGGCTCTCACTAAGTTGCCCAGGGTCTTGCTAAGTTGCCGAGGCTGCCTTTGAACTTGCCATCCTCCTGCCTCAGCCTCCCGAGCCCCTGGGACTACAGGTGGGCACCACCGTGCCTGGCGGAAAATATCAAACTTGTGGGAGAAAAGGAGGCAGGATTTAAGTTGGCAGGAGACAACGAGAGCTGAGGTACTCTGAGGTCTCTGAATTCTCGACAAAGGGATTTGCAAATTTGTGCAATTCCAGGGTTTCTCCTTGAACTTGACCAGCTGACTTGAAAATACACCTGGAAAACCAGGAGCCAAGCTACTCTTCAACGTGAAAAGGTAAACTCGAGGGCTTGCTGTGCCTCGCGTAGGATTCCTGGACACCATGGCAATCGGGATGGGGTCGGAGCGACCCAGGCTGGGACAAAGGGTGGTGCGACTTAGAGGTCCTACTTGGTGCACCACAGAGTGGCTTTGCAGAGAACTGGGGATAGTGGCCTATGTCACAGATGGTGCAGGACATTTGCTCAACCAAGTGACAAACAATTAAATTGGACAAATAATTAAAGAAAGAAATCGATCCCAGCTTCACACGGTGCAAAAAACGTCAGCCCCAGGCAGACTACAGTGTCCGTGGCAGGACTTTAAATCATGAATTTATGTTTTAGTACTGGGGGTTGAACCCAGGGGTACTCTACCACTGAGCCACATCCCCAGCCCACTTTATTTTTGAGACAGGGCCTCACTCATTGCTGAGGCTGAACTTGTGCCAATCCTCCTGCCTCAGCCTCCCCAGTGGCTGGAGTTGCAGGTGTGGGCGACTGGCTCCTGCAGAATCTTTTGAGAGACGAGGCAGGAGCACATCTGTATGTTCTTCTGAAACAAGACATAAAACCAATGAACAAAAAGAAAAGATGAATACATTCAGCTCGATGAAAATCAGTAATTTCTGTTTGCCGAAAGTCACCGTAAGTGAAAAGACAAACGTGGTCTATGGAGAATGCGCTCCTAGCACCAAACCCGCCCAGGCTCAGCGTCCAGAATCCGTAAAGCCCTTCGGCCAATCAACACGGCGCAGTCAACCTGGTGGGAAAAGAAACGGCCCAAGACACAGCAGGAATCAGAGGGGCTGGAACACAAGTGGACGACAGGCGGGCAGAGGCCTCCCCTTCCCAAAGGGAAGTAAGGGGACAGGATTTATGCCACTCAGTTGGTGACAAATATGTTATAGACCACATGGCTCAGCAGAAGCGCCAACCCCCTGCTCACGGGACCGTGGCGTTGACCTCTCTGCCCCGTTTGGGGTTACAGACATTAGCCAACCCGACCCCCCACGCCACACCTGGGCAGACACCGGAGCAGCTCTTCCACACATGCTCCAGGAGACATGTTCCGGAAGGTTCCGAGCAGCCCTTTCTGTCGTAGTGAGCAGCACCACACAGTGCATGTACCCACGGGCGGAAGAATGGCTCAGGACCTGTAGCTGACTTCCAGCGTGTGGGAGACTCGCCAAAGGGGCACAACTCACGCCGG